TTGGGCAAAATGAGCAATTTGGAGATGAAGGAGATGGCATTGTGTTCCTGACATTTAATGGACTTAAAGCTACAGTTAGTACCTTTTCATAAACATAACATTGCTTGGTTTTGGCTCAGCTGTTTTCAACAGGGTGGCCCGGTCACAAACTTTCTCCATTTGCAGCTAAACTGACACTGAAATTCCGAAAACATTTAAGTGAGAAATAACCAATGCAGTAACAGAATCTTGATTCATATGAGATCAGCGCTGTCTAGTTGACAGTTTGACCGCAGTTCTCGAGCAGTGATTGACAGCTGCGTTAGAGACTCCTCAGCTATATCATAGGCAGCTTGACTTGCTTGAGTTTCTTGAAGAAGTTTCACCTCTCATCCAGGAGGCTTCTTCATTTCTAACTGACTGGTGAGGCGCAGGCTTTAAACCCTGTGTGGGTAGGTTCAAACCCTGCGACTCCCCACCAATTAGTTAGAACTGAAGAGGCATCTTGCACGAGAGGTGAAACATCAAGAAAATCAAGCAAGTCTAGCTGCCTATGATATAGCACTTAGAATTATCATGACCTGGATGACCGTCATCTCGGCTCTGGTTGGTTGTTTTCATTTAGTCATGGTGGATTCTTGCAAATGCCATTGGGAGCACTACGAGGAGGAGAAGGAACATTATTTTTTTTCACAGTTGATTTGTCTCATGTGGTACCATCAGAATGTGACAGCTTCGTCAAATATGACAAAAACTTACTGTTACTAAAGTTACCAGCTGCAGCTTTAAGACACTGACTTAGTGAAGGAATAGGCAAATCAATAGATACATAATAGATTTTTTCTTCCCTAAAAGTAACCTCCACCTGGTAGTTATTTGCAGAAAATGCGTGGTTGTCAAGTTGGCAAACTTGTCTGCGAGCACCAAACACGGCTGTTATAAATTCTGGTAAAACTATAAGAAATAGGAACGATTACCTACAAACAAGGATCACAAACAAGCTGGTTTTCTTAGAGATGTGTAAAAAAAAAAACAAGCCCTGCTTACGTGGTACGTCATAAGATGCGTCACCGAGTGGTGTCTTGTGTCTGGTGACAATATGACAAGTGAATTTAAGGTGACAGCATTTACTGAAAATGTGCACACATTGCATAACACATCGGACACAAACACTGTCATTTGTCGCACCAAAGACGAAGTGCTCAAGTGCAGACAAATCTGTTCTCCGCCTGCTCCTTCTCTTCACTCTGCAGGCTGGAAGCATGCAGCCTGTCACTGGCACTGCAGTGAGCCCAAACATGATATGACCTAAATAAACCAGTGCGTTGGGAGAGAGAGCGGGAGTGAGGGATGAAGCAATATTTTTTCCCTCTCACCCAGTCGTCTTGTTTTCAAACACTTCTGCTGCAGGCTACAACTTGTGTATGTGCACTGTCAAACGCGTACACACATTTTCATACACACTGGAGTCAGACCTGATGCCTTTATATCATGACACCTGCGGAGGTATTTGGCTCTTACTAAAAAACAGGTGCTTTCACATATCTAAGCACCTGCTTTACATCTCGTTAGTCGACATCCTGCCCCTTTTTCAGACAGCTTAAACTGTGAATTTGTGTCTCTGCCTACGGTATGGCTCAGGGGTCTTGATTGTCTTTTTATGAGTGATGCCATAGAGAACGAACTATGGCAAAAAAAAAGGCATTAGCTGTGCTTTATCACCAGAGTTTCCATTACAGAACATGTGGGAAAATGGAGACAAAACTCCAATCAGCCAAAATCTATTTGGCTTGCAGGCTAGCTATCGTTTAGAAGTTGTATTCAGTTCACAAAATGTAGTTGTATTGTAAAATAATCAGCAGATTTAACTTGTCTTTTGTTGCTACACTCAGGCTATTTGAAGCACAGATTCAGGCTCATGAGACGTTTCCTGAGTCCATGGTCCACTCCAGGTCGCCCTTTCGTGACAGTAGGAAGTCTGATGTGTTTATGTGTGTTTCTGTGGCCTGGTCAAGGCTGAAAGCTTCATTGTGTGCTGCCCACAGAGCTGCAGCCTGGCACAGACAGATAAGAGAGCCTCACCTCAAACACACTTTCTACCCCGAGCCAGTACCGGCTCACAGGACAGGTTTCATTATGCAAACAGACAGCTCAGTCCTGAGAGTGTGCGTGTGTGTGTGTAGTTAAGTAGGCGCATATGTGTGTGGTCGCTGCGAGCATTTGTGTGCGAGTGAACGTTGCTATGTTGCTGCTTGTTCTTGTGTGTGTACGGACAGTCAGCTCTCCTGGATTAAGGACCTTTAATCTCGCCCGATCCTCATCAGCTCAGAAGTTAGTGCAACTTGTTAGTCAAGGAGTACGCTCTGCTCACGTGTTAAAAGTCAGCACTGCACGGCTGAATGACTCCCGGTCCCCGGTTATGAGTTGCTAAGGGAGACGTGAGCCAGCCTTTGGATGATGGATGCACCTCTCAGTTCTAGTTTGGATCAGCAACTTTTAATTGGGTCTCTGCGTTTTTGTGCCTCCTAATCTCCTCCCAAAGCCAAGAAGACATGCATGCAGCGTTTAAAGTAGAGCTTTTAGCCTAATTAATTGTGCTGTTTCAGGGTTCTCAGGGACTTTCAGTGTTTTAACCTGCACTAAAGTGAGACCTGGAGTCAAAACAGCAAGACAACATTTTCAAGGAAAACTACAGGTTATTATAACTTGAGTTTTATTTTCATCGCTGCACCCAAATCTCAGAGTACAGCGAGATCACTGAAGAAGTTGGGGGCAAAAAAAGAATGATCATACAACTACCAACTAAGCTAATACTTTTTAGGGGGTGAAACCAAAAGTTGTGATTGTGATTTAACTGTAATATTGTATCCTTGGTTCTTTTAGGCTACACCCATACTAATATGTTTTCCTTTTAAAATGCATACCTATTGCGAAGTTTCTGCCTTACTACGTGGGCATTTCGGAACTTCTAAAACAGAGACTTTTTAAAGTGCTGCTAACTCTGTTTTAATTTGAAATATCCAGGGTTGCGTTTAGTCTGGACGACAGATGGCGTAGGCACCTGTGTTTGCTTTCTGATTGGGTCTCATCAGTCACGACATGTCAAGCCAAAACATTTTAGATAGGTCTACACACCTTTTGTGATTTTTACCCTTCTTGTGTGGCTACTCCTTTTGCATTGTCATGGCTTTGTTGGGTGATGGGTAATGTTCCTGGTATGGCTCCAATCAATTCTCCAGAAACAGCACTGGGCTTTGAAGCCAATTTTGCATAGCAGCCAAATGTTAAATTACGTCTTCGGGTCTGTCACGTAATGCCATGGAGCCCAAAAAGAGGTTTTCCCCATAGATTTACATTGTTAATCAATGCATATTTCGTTTGAGCTTCACACCCCCCATGGAATTCGTTTCACTATTGGGATTTGAGGCATTCACCGATTAAATTGTTCCATCCCCGTTCAAGTTAGCAGATGGCTAAACCTGAAGTTAGTCAGGGAAAGTTAGTCACATTAGCCCCTTTTACACTGCCAGATTTTCTGCAAATGTTGGGCCGTTTTGCTGGCCAGCTGCGAACGTTTATACACACAGACGCGGAATTGCGAGTTGATCCAAGGCGCCCAATTTTCTGCCTCGTAGGGTAGTCATATTAGCGGAACCCTTTCAGTTTAAACAGATCGAGGCGGCCTTCCGCAAAGGGAGGGGCTGTTGATGACGCCACACATACGAGCCACTGGCGGTGGATAAACAGGAAACAGCTGATAGCAGGAAGTAGCGAGTAGCTGGTAGCAAGAGGGAAACACAAACCTGACAGACACTGTAAAGATGAGTTTCTGAGGAGACAAGGAATTGCGCGCCCTCCTTGTCCTCACAAACGAAGAGGCCATTAAAGGTCAGATGATGGGGACGGTGAAGAACGGGCCGATTTACGAGAGAATCGCCGCCTGACTAGCTGCGGCTTCCCTCCCACATCACTGTTTACGTCACACGCTGAGCTGCACGTTTTGTTACTTGCTCACGCCCCCCATTGCCCCAAAAAAGGTGCATTCTGTATAAACAAAATGCCGCACTCCCCGATTTTGTTTTTATACTGCCAATGCTGAAAAAAGACTGACTGGGCTTTCCTGCAGATTTGCATAATTCCTATCTAAAAAGGGCTTTAGCCTCCGTAAATCTCAAATGTGCTTTTTCTATGGGCCCCACAATGCAGAAGATTCGGGTAATTTCATGCTGTGGAAATGGAGCCTTTTTTGGCTTCATGCATCACTGAGACACTTTCATAGGAATGAAGGGGGCCCCACCTGTAGCGCTGTATCCAGGTGTCTTTATACATCTGTGGTTTTAATATTTTACCATATTTGCTTTGTTACAGCTCCCAATCTGTCTTTTGCCGCCTTCACTGCCTCATACTCATGTGTTACTTTCAGTGGCTGTTTGCTTCCTGTTTACAACAGCACATGCATGCTAGTATGGGCGGAGGTTGTTTCTAAAGGGGTGCTCAAATGCTTGTGTGTACAGAGATGGTTAATGTATGAGTGTGGATGTGGCCTCAGTAAGAGCAGCAAACTATCCTCAGTGTCCTCTGTTCGCTTTTTTTGGTCCCTTGACTCCTAATGCTACAGAGAGTCAGGCTCCAACTCTTTTGTTCCTCCCTGTGAGTCACAGAGACAACAGCCTATTGTGTTGTGCACTGATGTCCGTATTTAAAGCACTCCTATTTAAAGTCACTATACAGGACACATGGAAGTGGTAGTCTGGCAGCAGTGTGATTCTGCATAATCACCAGCTCCTATCCGTTATCAAGCGCAGGAAGTTGACTCATTTCTGTGTTGACATACACTATTGACTGCACGTGAATTGGTACATTTCCTGTACTTACGATCTTTTATTATTGCTTAATATGTAAAACTGTTTCCTTAACTGTTGCTTCTTTGCTTCCAGCCAGTGCTGCAAGTTTTTATTTTGCTCCAGCTGACAGCCCAATTTTCACCCTGGGATTAATGAAGTATCTCTCACCATTCACAGGGAGCTCAGCGATGAATAAGCTACGGCAGAGCTTCCGCCGGAAGAAAGACGTCTACGTGCCGGAGTCGAGTCGGCCGCACCAGTGGCAGACAGACGAGGAGGCGGTCCGCAGCGGAAAATGTAGCTTTGCAGTCAAGGTGACTCTCACTCACACACAGACACACCTGAACGTAAAACCTCACAGACACACACACTCACTCACTCACTCACGCAGAGTGCAGTGCTGACCTGACTGTGGCATGCGCATACCTCTGAGAAACTTGCATGCTACCGGCTCCCCAAGGACACTGCTTGTGATTAATCATAAGCATTCAGAGACTGAGCACAGGTTTTATCTGGGTTGCAAGATTATCTGCTGCAGCCCTCCAAACCTGTGGGAAGTGTGTGCAAAATTGATTTCTGGCCTCCCAAGAGTAATCAGAACCACTTGAATCATCAAGTGAAATATACTGAAATTAAAGCATTATAGTTGACGAATAACAAAGTCAGGGGCACTGCAACGGGGCAGAGAAAGACACACGACTCTGGAGGCGATGCAGTATCTCTCTACACACAGCCTTCAGTGGTGTTCTGCAGCTGATGGAGTGGAGAGTTCGCTTTATTTTGGCAACAAAACCTTCCACTTTTGCAAACAGAAATGCAACGGTACGCTTCCTCTCATCACATGGGACCGAATGCTCACCTCAGGCAGAATAAAGGAGAATTGAAAACCTCAGGGTGGAGAAAGTTGTCGTCAGAATAGATAGTCATAGTAGTCAGAAATCTTTGTGGCTGGTCCACGGGTATGGATTGTACATTACATTAAAAGTGTACAGGTTATGGGTGTGATGCCACATGTGTTTTAACTTAATCCTGCTTCCTTTGAGTGAGAAACAGGAATTGAAAATATGGTAAATGAAGGGAGGTGGAGGTGAGTGGTGAGAAAGTAAAGGAAGGTAGCGAACAGGGTTTAAGACTACGTCATGGTTTGTGTTGGGAAGTTAGACAGATAGAGACTTGGGCTCAAAGTACCCCTCTGTTGTGTGCATTCTCACATAGGGGTAGGGCCTATGCAAAAGGCCCCACCATCTCTCCTACAAAGGGGCAAGATACACAGACTTTAAGGTGGTTTTGCCTGTCTTAATGGTCGTTTTTTGTCTCTTCGAGTTAATGTGTCTCTTTGGGTCCATTTTGTGTCTTTTTTAGTTGTTTTTGTGTCTTTCCTGGTTATGTTGGGTCTCTTTGCAGTTCATTTGCATCTCTTTGTGGTCATTTTCATTCTCTTTTTAGTCAGTATATGTTAATTTGAATGACATTTTGTACGTGAGGGCAAGAGGGGATCCTGACACATGCCTGGTGCCTGGTAGGCCCATTCAGTGATCCATCCATGGTGTCCCAGTATCTTGTTGTGGCAGAGGGGTAGGGTGAAGTGTTGGGGCTACATGACCCTCCAAACAGAAGTTTTGTCAGAGGCACAGAGAGGATTCTGATAATCAACACACAAATAAATAAAGTAAATGGTCATTTATTCGACATAACGTGTGAATCTCAAACGGGTTGATCCAACATTCATGTTAGTTAAGTCACCAACATTATACTAGCCTGCTAGCATGTTGTGTAGCTAGGCTAACTACAGCAAAACACATTTGCAGTCTATCCTACATACCACAAACCAATCCACTGGCATTCCCAGGCGTTGAAGATGTCTTCTTTTTCTCACATTTCTCCAATTTGCTGCAGACAGTCACAAATGGATGCCTGTAGCCCACGCAGGGGAAATCACCGCATCTGAATATGGCATGTTCAAAATGTCTGGCAACAAACTTGTTGCTTCTGTTTACGTAAACGTCATCAGTGACTACAGATGAAGTGTCAGGGTGTTGTTGAAAGGTTGTCCCATTTCATATGGTAATATTTCATCCACTAACCCTTGTAACTCTGTTCCGAGGCAGAAAGGGGACTCAAAAATGAGATAGGATTGGGCCTTGATGTGGAACGGGTGTGCATGTGTGTCCTGTCATGGCTCTAAGTCGTTTGTACATCTAAGCCAGCGTGTGAAATGCCCCAGATTTAAGATCTCCCTTAAGCTGTCTTCCAAATGTTCACTGGCCACACACACACACACACACACACACACACACACACCTTCCCTCCCCCACCTGTTGCTCCCCATAAATTGTCTCCCTTAGCTGTACTCAAAGCTAAATTTGTCGATTAGCATTTACTCTACTCTTTCCTCACACTTCTTGTAATGGACTACATCTCTTCACATTTTGCTTTTATTCACCACTTTCTTTAAGTAAGCACATCGTCTTTGAGCCTTGTCTGTAAAGAGACACATTGTCTTGTCAAAGTAAAGAGGTTTCATTAAAGTACTACAGATTTCTTTCTTTTCTTAAAATGCTCTGCCCACAAAAAGCAACAAAAGACCAAAGACAAACCCGTTCTCTGTAACTGTAACCAGTCGGTATGCACACTTTGCCAAAACTCAGGTAACTGCCTGTTGTTGCAGGCGCTTGCCCAACTCTAAATACCTTCTGGTAAGCTGTTAAAATAATAAAAGCAATCAGTAAATTACACATCAGCTGTGGGCAAAAGGAAAATTAGCTTATCTCTCATTGTCATGCTTTCCTTCTCATACTTCTGCAGCCACACACACTTCTCCTCCAGCTTTTTTTTTTCCCCCCTATGCGCTGGCTTTCATCGTGCCGGTGCAACCTACCATGCTACCTCTCTGTGTCCCTCCTACCCCTCCTGCTCCCTTGCTCCCGCTCTAGGTGCCTCAGAGGAGCCCGGTTGAGTGTGGGTTGGAATAGTTGCAGTGAAATGATCACTGACTGCCGCACTAAAGAATAGCCGATAGAGGGGAGGAGAGGAGATGGGGAAGGAGAAGAAGAAAGGTTTCAAAGTGGTGTTGAGGAAAAAATAGGGGATCCGGGGGGGTTAGGATGGGGTGAAATGAGCCTTTAAAGTTGTGGCTCGGAGCTTCCGCCACGACATAACAGGCCATTTGACAAGCGTAGTAAAAGCCCAGGTCTCCACTGATTATCACGTCTGAGTACGTTTGTGCTTGTGTCTGTTGTTTTCTAACTGAAATTGCAGTGACAGACAATTATTCATGATTCAAGGTGATTGTCAAAGGCATAAAAATGTAGATTTGCTTCTTTGTATGGAAATGTCAGTCTACTGAGACTGCTGAAGGCTGGAGACGGATGTGAGATTAGATTAAATTGCTTATGTGTGTTGCTTATCAAGTATAACAGAGGAGAGGGAAACACAGGTTTAATCTATGTAGACATACTCATATGGAAAACAATGTGTGCAGCTTGTTGTCTGCAGTTATTTACACATTGGAAAGGAGGAGTTTGTACGGTGGTGTACAGGATTTTTCACTCAAGCTGATTTATGGCCAATACCTTGAATTAGTTTCTGGAATTCACCTGGATAACATCCAGAGGTTTTATGCCAACAAAACCAACTCCAGTTAATTGATATTGACATATGTGTAATGCCATCTTGTACCCCTGCCACCTTCAGAGCTTTCAAGGAAGAGGTGCTGGTAGGTGTTTCGTTACTTTCTGACTGAGCCAGGCAAGATGTTTCCCCATGTTTCTAGTTTTATTGCTTAACTAATGCCGACCATATTCTAGAAGGCTTTGAAAAGGCTTTTAAAACGCTGATGTCTGACACCCTCTCACATCTAAAGATGGTCACTACATTTACATGCACTAAACATTCTGGTGTTTTTTGCCCTTATGCTGAAAAAGACAATATTGCTAAAAGGCGTTAACGTGGCCAATGCAAATGAATATTCCACTCCCATTTACATGCAGCTGCTCATACTTCAATTAAAGTGCTGTAACATGTCATTTTCACAGCAAAATATAGAAAAGTGGAACAGCTGGAACCGCTTGTCATTTTGCTTTTTTGCATCAAAATATGATGTTTTAAAAGTTCTTACCGGTGGTGGACTTGTTTGACCGTGCAAACACAAGGTTGGTGCTGCAACATTTGTGTATATCCAAAAATCCATTGATATCCAAGTCTTTCATCGTGTTTGAAAGTAGTCGTGTTTCTTCTTCTGACCAGAAATGTGGGCTTTCCTCTTGGGCGTACATCTGCAGCCTTACAAACAGTTGGCAAGTTGGTTTGTGTAAGAGGTCGACTGATTCATCAGTTTGACCGATTAATCAGCGCCGATAGGACTTTATATAAACTATCATCAATGGCAAATGGAGCTCCGATAATGGCCAATAGCTGTAACATCTGCTTGTCACAGGGGTACGGCTGTAAGGCTCTTCCACAGAGTACCCAGCATGCAAATACAAGGTAATGTGTGTTTTAGATCATTTGTCTGGTTTAAATGAAAGTTAACTAATGTAGGATAGCTTTACTTCTTTATTAGGGGCATAATAGGGTTGCTGGTTATGTCTCCATGACAACGCACACAGTCAACCATAAACAGGCAAGAGGCCATGTGTCACAAACTCCAGTAAAAAGCCCAAATGAGATTTTCAGATGGTCTGTATACATGCCCAAATAATGCTATTAAAACCTGAGTAATACTGACATTACCGATATGTCTTAATTGGAAAATGCTAAATTTGGAATATGGCATAATTTGGAAAAACAAATGGAATATGCTGTTAACAAGACTCGTGTCAAATTCAGAATAATAGGGGAATATTGGTGTACATGTAAACGTACCCAGTTTGAGGTTTTAGTCAGACATTGTAAGATTTTGCAAAGACCGGGGTCACTCTTTGCAAGACAACAACTAGATTCATTTTGAGATTATTTTTGAGATTTTGAGATTATTTTCCATCCCGGAAAATTGCTCCTGGTTGGAAATACTTCCCCAAACTCCCTGACATATTACCATTTTTTTGTGTGGAGGCAAAAACAGAAACCGTATGTGCGTACAAACTTTATATTTTGTATTTTGTCGTCTTAACTCGCCACCATTCTTTGTTGGTTAGCTGCGCTATTTCAGTGGGAGGAGACCATGGGAATGAGAGGCCCACTGTTTCAAAAAATTGATTTCTCTGTAGAATAAGTGCTGGCTGGTGGATCAGATACTTGCCGAATTAAAAACAGACTCTTGTTCACTCCACAACACCACCAATTTCTCCTGCTTTTCCACAGTCAGAGAGAACTGAGACTTGTTCATGTTCTTGCACTACTCCAGTGTCCCCTCTATGTCCACTGTCTACCTGGTTTGCTACTTCCTGTTTGCCGCTTGAGAGAGCACATCTATTGGTTGTTGACAGTGTTCGCATCACTAAACTTGCAGTAATATTAAACATATTTGAATTGTTGTAACGCCAACATGAAAGAATGACTGCCTTAAGACAGCTTGGATTGTGTTTCATGGCCACCATACTATAATGAGACCAAACGAAACTCATGATTTTATTCCAACATTGGAAATTTGTCTGCAACAGTGAAATCACTAGAAGGTCGTTTGGTGTAAGGCCTTGGCATAAGCTAACGGGCTACTGGCTTCAGCTTCACTTTTATTGTACAGACTTATGACCAGTATCAAACTTTTCATCAATCTCTTGGCAAGAAAGCGAAAAAGAGTATTTCACAAAGTGTTAAGTAATAGCTCAAGCTAAAACCTGAGTATCTAAACAATAGAGGACTGTTCTTTGTTACTGTCAGTCTGTTGTCTTGACCTTGTCCTCCTTATCATCGGCTGCTACAAATGTTTACAGAATTTAGATTTCAGCTCATCCCATGGTTGCACATGGTGTTACCTCTGCTGGCCCTCTCCAGCTGGAAAATCAACCACGGGGGCAGGAAAATGTAAAAACACTATCTCATCCTGTGTTTCTCCTCATCAAACAAACACAAACAGTGCCGTGTCAGTGACAGCACATAATAAAAATATCATGATATATAAACTGTATCTAATCCGAGCCCACTGTGGGATTAGTGTCAAGTGGAACTAATCCCACAGTGGGCCCACAAACAGAATCAAATTACCCTACACATGTACAACACACTGTTCACCAGATATTAATTATTATTAATAAATAAGGAATTAGTGTTTTTGTTGTTGGATGTTGCTGCCAGCTACGTCCTAACAGGACAGAGTGTGATGGTACAATGAAACATCTGTTGTGACACTTGGCGCCTCCCCTGCATTTACTCATCTCACCTCAGCCCCATCTCCTGGCTGATCCCCTATTAGCGACGCTGCTGCTTTCACTGTCTTCACTACCCCAGCTGCCTCCTTGCATCAGCATTTTCCTCAGCACACATGCGTTTTTTGGGGGGTTGCATCTATGTGTGCATACACATGTGTACATACACCGACAGTGTGACTCACAGCTGTAGCGTCACACTCTGAAAATAGCAGGGCCGGAGGGTGGGCGGGGTGACAGGCGTGGGTCAGCGTCACTCCGTGTGTGTGTGTATCTATAAGGAAAGGGTAAGGACTTCCTCTCCGGGCCGGCACGCACAATGGCTTCTGGGGCGGTCAGGGTTGTGACTCTGGAGTGACACACAGCAGGGTGTGATGTTGCTTCAGGTCCAGGAGGAGGGAGGGAGGGAGCTGGAGGACACAGCCTTTTCCGTTCATTCAGTCGCAGTTAATCCCACTCACGTAGAAAGGCCTGATGGTCGGAGCACAGGGTCCCGCCGCCCCCTGAGCTGAGCCTGACAGTCTCTTGATTAATTAGTTACTAGACGGCACTCTTAACAATTATCTCTCATTGTGTGTGTGGCGTATATAGTGTTAAAGGGCCTACGCTCTTTATCCTTGAAGGTTCACGTTATATACTGTGGGACTGATTTTCTTTCTGACATCAGTGGAGGCAGTGCAGTTAATTCTGGCACAGCTTTACACGCTTCCAAGGTGTACGTCGAAGGAGAAAGTCTGTCGGAACGAAAGCAACACTTGTAGTATAAAGGACGACTTTGTGTGAGACCAACACGTTTCGACTTGTGGCTTTTATGATGAGGGTGACCCTACATCTAGCGGGTGAAAAAAGAACATGCGGGTCGGATCGTGGGTTTTGGATGATAAATATATGAAAATGAAATGAGTATAATGACAATTTAAGGTTTTAATCCTCTGACTGCTGACTTTGTGTGTCTGTCCTCTGCGACACCAGGAATATGAGAGCTACTAACAAGCTAAATAACTGTTAATAAATGCTGCTTAATAAAATGAGAATAATTTAAATCAGGTTTCCTATATTACCTTTGTTTTAAAATGTTTAATCTTACTTTCACATGTATGAAATGTCCCAAAATTATCACTTTAAATGTGCTACCTGACCAAATTAGCAGCACATTGCTGTTAAAGAATTTGCACTTTCAGGTCAGGTTACAGATCTTGTGTCGGCGGTAGGGGGTCATGGAAGAATTGGTCAAATATGCAGGTGGCAGGGCAGATTCTGTGTTGCACGTTGCAGTTCTGACTCAGGAGCTGATCTTGAAAATGTGACCCGCTCAGTTCCACCCTGATGAAGGTCACAAGCAGAAATGTCAGTCTCACAATGAAGTTGTTCTTTACACTTCTTTATACAAGTGTTTTATTTCATGTCAGGCAGCCTGCCCTCGACATGATATACTGCAGGAGGCCGTGGAGTTCTATATTGTGGGGACTTTCCATGTTGCACAGCGCTTTACTAATCTTAATAAAGACTGAGATTGTTATGTTTGGGCGAGCTGACCTAATGGATGAGTCCATTGGTATTCTTGGCCCTTATATTAAGCCTCTTACCATCAATGTTTGGTTAAGATTCTCGTATTATTTCTGACAGCTCCTTTATTAGTTCATTTGTCAAAACTAGCATTTTCTAGCTCAGACTTAGGCCTATCTCTCACCCAAAGATCTCAAGAGAGGTATTCATGCATTTATTACCTCTCGGTCTTTGTATAAACATCAAGATCAATTGGCTCTTGCTCATCTTGCAGTCTTCTAACTGGAAAAGGAAAGCATGGTCACATAGCGTCAGTATTAGCCTCCCTCCACTGACTTCCTGTCTGCTCCAGAAGAGCTTTATCTATTCATATAAAAACTTCTCAGACTCTACTAACCTTTAAGTCACTGCTGGAGATCTACCTCTTCTCGTTGGTGCTCGATTCAAGTTGAGTTTAACACCTTGACGTCATCTCCTGTTCTGCTGCAATTCTTCTTCGTTTTCTTTTGTTTTTATTTGTTATTGGCTTATGAATTAATCTGTTTTGGTATTTTGAACCTTTTCAGCTCTTTGGTCTACTGTGGTTGTTTTTAAGTGTGCTATACAAATAGAGTAGGAAGACATTAAGTATGATCTGAAGTGCACAGCCAGTATCCTTTGTTTGCTTTGTTTACATGACCGCAGAGCTGACAGGTACAGTGGTTTGTTTACATGGCATTACAGAAATCTATATTTAATGGATTCAGTGTGGACACAGAGACACTTGCTGTTAGGACATGGGGTTAGGCCTTCGTTGGTCTATGCTGTGTGAGAGACAGAGAGAGGGAAAGAGAAGCTGGAAGGTGAACAATTGCACAGTGTTTCTGTAGGTTATTAATAACTTTGTCAAGACACTGCTTTGTTGCTTAATGACCCGCCTGCCTGAAACCTGCAGTATTTTCTAACAAGCTTACCTGAACCGCCCGACCCACGGGTCAACTCCTGGCCCTTGCGGGCTGTGGGTCGACCCACGCATCACTACTGGCAACTCAAAGCTGGAATATTGTGAAGGCCAAAATAATAAATATTGTGTTTTAATGAGGTCTAAGTCCACAGGAACACAAAGGAGCTGGTTGCATGTTGACCATGCTCAGTGTACGAGGAAAGAGCAGCTTGTTTTTGCCCCTCTGTGTGTTTATTTTGTTTTCCTCATGTAGTCCTCTTCTCATAAAACCACACACTTGCTGCTAGATTTAGGAACTTGCCTATTTATATTTCTCAGGAAGTGTTTTCTCCATGGACAAAATTAGGGATCAACTAGGGCGCAATTGAACTGCGATTGACCTCGAAATGGTAATTAATTAGGTGTATAAATCACCAGCGCCAGCCTACCAGGGGATATTAGACAACCTGGACTCATTTAAATACCCCATCTCATTGCAGAGTTTATTAATGTATCCGTAGTTAAACTTCAGTAGAGATAGCCACGGGACAGGTTTGTCACCACATTACTCACTCTCTCCCTCTCTGTCTCTATTCCCCGCAGTACCTGGGACATGTGGAGGTGGAGGAGTCCCGAGGCATGCACATCTGCGAGGATGCAGTGAAGCGGCTGAAGACGGTAGGTCTCAGTAGAAAGCTGCTCCGTACTTCCAGGAACGAGGCTGCTACATACCACCCATCCCACTTCCTTTATTATCTTTTCTCCCAGTAGTTTCCTTCAGAGAGCTACTATCGACATCCTACTGACTCCTTCTAACATTTCCTTTATTTCATGGCAGCTCTCCTCCATCTGTCACCAAGCAGTTTAGTTCTTTTTACTGTGTCACAGTTTACTCTGTACATCGAGGCCTGAGTGTGGCTGATTGTTGCCATTTGTCAGTGAGGGTCTCCACCCATTGTGACCCTGTGAAAACCTCCGGGGGTGTCAGGATCTGCTCTGAATGACTCTTCCTCTCTCTCAGTTTTCTCGTGCACTGTCTCAGCCTGAGGAGATAGGCCAGCATGTACTTCCTGCTGCAGGAGATTCCGGCAGGGTTGCGCAAAAGGAACAAATTCCAGTTTGGGGAGCAGGGGAGGGGAAGGAGGAAGCAATTCCTTTTCCATGTTGTCAGTTGTTTGCAAAGGCCCCACCCAGGTCAAACCCCTGTTGGTAAATGAGGCTGATTCTCTGTAGTCAGGGCCAAACCTGAGTCGCGAGTACACAAGGCCACTCAGGCGGATTGGCACGTCATAAGTCTGAGGAGTAACTTTGTTTTCAGTGCCAACAAAGGTTACGAAACTCTCACCAAAGTGTCTGGGATTAGCTTTCAGTTTCAGTTTAAATGACTCCGACTAATCGAGAATTCACACCCTGTTTACTCTGTCATCAGTACCTATTCTTCCTGCTTCATAAAATTGTGTTGAGGGCCTTTTAGTCATTTTGCATGTTCGACTCAATGAGCTGTTGAAGGCTACTTGAGCTATTGAGAACCATTTGTTAGTTTGATTATACTGAAGAACATGCTCCAGATTAATTTTCATATTTTATGAGTACAATTTAATGGACAGTAAAACGCTTACATTTTCAAACCAGTTAACCCTCTGACACCCGCCATAGACCCTTTTTTGTCTATTTTAGAGGGGGCAGGGGCTCTTTGGGGGATGATAGCAGGTCAACAGTATATGCAACATAAAAGTGGTGTACATCATCTGAAAGCTGGGAACCTGAAGATTAATATGAGCTGTTAGCTCAAGTTTTTCTAGTCCTAAATATGTAATAAACAGTGTGTTTTGGTTAGGCTCCTATTCAAACTTTGAAAGTTAAGGGTGTGTAAGGGCTGAGAACATTATGGTGAAGGTATATGACGCTCATTCCCACGCACAATTATGTCTCATGAGTTGTTGCAGCAATTTTTGGGTTGAAACCATTTGTTACACAGATTTGGTGCTAAATTTAAGCATTGTCAGTCCCTGCAAGAATATACTGCAAGACTGAGAGATACACCATAGAAAAATCTAACGAACTTTTGACCTTTAAAGATTTCCATAAGGATTGCATTTTTTGGCAATTGGATGGGAGCACTTCTGTTGTAGAAATTGTTGAGACATCCCCTTATTGTCAATATACCCATGAAAGCCATCCATCTTCTGAATACCAAAGGTCTCTGGTTTGTGCTTATAAAGTTTAATGAGGCTGTCATTATCCTCAAGGTCACAACAGGTCATTTTATACAATGATGTTTGTTTAAAAAAGATGGTCTCACAACAATGAAATGGCTACTATGGGGTTTGAAATCATTACACGGGAATAAAACTGGGCTCACTGAATCCACAAGAGTCTCAGCTTTCCAGTCACATCCTTTTTATACAATTCCAAGACTGTTTAGAAACCCCAGTGTGCAGAAATATTCAAATACAGTAGATACAAAAATAACATCTGTACTGCATACAAATAGCTGAAAATGGCCATGCCAGTTTTTCCCTCACTTAAGTTTAGCCTAACTTTGGAGGATTTTTTACCCGTCTTCCAGACAAGTTAGCATAAGATGGTACCAATTGATTCTTTAGGTATTCTAGTATGATATCAGTATCTTCCCTCTAGCTTTCCTCTCAGCCCGCCTAATGTCAGCAGAGATTGCCAGCGGGCCAGCAGGTCTCATGGGGTTAAAACAGAGCAGTGTAATAAAACAGAAGCTATTTAACACACAGTCTTACATTTATACAGAAGTGCATTTCCTCACACTTCAACACGTGTTGACACATTCTGGTAAAAGACATCCACTCACAAAACACACTGCACTGGTACGTACATCACTTGTGTAACAAAGACGCGACATACAAAAACCCACACAGGAAGAAGTGAACCCAGAGGCACAGCAGACAAACATACTGTACACACACAGAGACGTACTGTGCGTACTCCTACAGTGAATACTCAATACCCGAGCACACACATACAAGCCCGATGAACACACACAGCAGCAGCACAAACACACTGGTGCTTGATGAGGTCACATGGTGTACACAGAGCCCGAGGCTGCGAGGCCTTATTGAGTTACAGTCATTTTAACAGGGCGGACAAAATGGAGCCAACTCAAAAGGAGAAGCGGGCGCTTCTGCCTCCTGTCGTCCTGCGGGCCGCAACTATCTGACCCCTCTCAACCTCATGACATCCCTCCTCTGTCTCCTCCGCTGCTTTCTCACCACCCAGAGAACTTATTGTCAGCCAGCACAGAGATGGCTTTATTGATCCTCTTTTGTAAGCGGGGTGGGAAATTAACTGCCACATTCAGAATGCGAGTCAGGCTGGCATCATTTCAAGGTCTTCTTCTCCACACTATTATTCTGGAAAAAATGGCAACATTGGCAGCTGATTTTTTTGTGATGTAACTGCTGCCATTACATTCCTGCTTAGTGGCTTTCATCCAGTTGAGCCCTGGTCTGTACCTGTGGGTTCAGCTGTGTACCTGAGAGGCTCGGCTTACAGGACATGCCAGGAAACAATAACTATTGCCCATTCATTCTGATGAAAGGAGCTTTTACACTGCACATTTTTTTATTCTCCTCCAGGTTTGTTTCCTTGTCGTGCAGCCCTCTACACACGATTATTATTGTCTCCCAGGTCATTATGAGATGCCATCACACAGGAACAATAGCATTTCTGGGCTCAGGGAAAGCTTTACAAATACTAAACCTTCACAATTTAAAAATTCATAATACATGAGTATTAACATTCAGCACCGGAGCTCAGAGCAGTTGAGAAGCAATCAGACGAGTCGAGCTGACCTTCATATCTGATTAGCTTTGTGGTGATTTTCAGACAAGAGTAGGATTGTATAGCGTATTCCTGTGTTGCTCTGTCGACAATGACGCAGCTTAAATAAATGATTTGACTGACAAAATGAGGTCTGACTCGGGGGTTCTCTGCTGATGATTTGAATCATGGACGTTTAGGGAGCAGCCCTGATGCCATCTGAGGTCTCTGTAAACAGTTTTACAGACATCTTTATTGTAGTGGCGGACTGTGGGAAAAACAGAGGGAGCTGACAGCAAGGCTGACTCTGCTGCCTGGAGCAGAGCAGAGCAGAGCAGAGCATAGTGATGGTATGCAGTGTGACTGCCCCTTGGTGCCAGTTATCCCCGTCAAAGCTAGATTGTCCAGACAAGACGAGGACCAGCCTTTAAGCAGATATACAATTAACGAGGCCCTGATGGATCCCAGTTCATCCTCGCTGACTCTTTAATAAGCTAACTGTTGCCAGGCAACAATTACAGTCCCTACCAGTGGAGACAGTTGATATTGCTCAGCAGTAAACTCAGTTTGCAGGAGTTAATAAATAAATTGGTTAGGAGCCAGGCCCACACCTGTAGACACTTAATATATCTGATGAGGGCTGTTTCCTGAAAACCACCAGCCAGACTGCAGCCAAAACACTAACACACTTTGGTAGCGTCAGCACAACACAAACTTTATTTCATTTCTACAAGCTCCACTTCATTTGGGTTTTGATTAAGGATGGGCACCGACAACCAGTGCTAAATTAGCCCTGGGGCTAAATGATCAGAAACCGTAGTAATGATAAGCACTAACAGTACTGATCTTCTCTGTCGGCACTAAACTCCTCCACACACACACACACACACACACACACACACGTGCCTATACGACATGGTGACCGGTGAACAGCCGAGCGGCCCCGGTGGAAACAAAGTGAAGATTACTCAGTGGCGACAGCTACACTCGTTACTGTAAGTGACATTAACCCTTAGTGGGTAAGAAGCCAATACTTTATCAATGCATGTGTTCAGCAAGCATCAACATGTAGACAGTGATACTCAATATGCTCCGTCCACAGTCTCTCATCCACCGTCACTAACGTTATGTCCTATACAAGGACAGCACGCTAGTTCAGCTGATAGTGCATTGTTACTAATAAGCTCAAATGACAGATGTCTGTATGTAGACTAACTTAGTTTGACACTTATCTTAAAATACTTTTAAACTTAGCTGCTGGCTGAGACAAACAGCCCCTCTCCTCCCCACACCGACATGTAACCAGCCAAGCTGGCGGAGCCAAATACAGGGCACACACCGAATCATCTAAGTCATCACACTAATTTGATTAAATTTCCGGAACTTTGAGGTGTGGTGGAAATGCAAACCACACAGATTAACAAGAATTCTTTTACCCAGGTAAATAAATTCCTGGTAATAAAAGTTCCTGGAAGTGTTGGTGGAAAAGGGGCTATAGTGTCTGTGGTGGCGGCTGGCACACAGAAATGAGGAAGTACAATCTGTAGTTCAGCCAATAGCCAGAAACATCTGCCTGAATGACATAAAAGGAGTCATCCAACAGATCTGAGCTCGAAGATGAGCATGGAGATCTGGGTGCTGGTGAGATGGTGGCAAGTTTACCAGAGTTCATTTGCAAACACTGCCCATATTGTTATGACACAAAGGTGGTTGAAAATTGGCGAAGTATCCCTTTAATGTCTTTGAGCAGGGCAAGAGAGATGAAGAGCAAGTTGACGTGCTTTGATGAATGAGGAGGAAGAACATGAAAATGTATGTGTGACTAGATTTGTGCCTGGAGGGCGCGTGTTGGTGGTCCAGCTGTCAAACTGTGTGTGTGTGTGTGTGTGTGACAGCTACAGCTCTGAGCCGACTCCATTGTTTTCCCAGCAGCCTTTGGGACTGTAATGAGAGTTTTCTCACAGCTCCGTGACCCGTGACTCAGAGGGGAGGATGGAGGCGGGTGGAGGAGGAGGCTGCACTGCGGCACCATCAACCTCCAAGCTGCCCTTTTGCGTTGTCATCATGACATCACTTCCTGGTGCCGTTGGCTGGCGGCCCAGGGTTGGGTTGGAGGTGTATTCTATGTTCTCGCAGTGGGAAAGGTTTTTGCTGTTACTCAGAAGCTCCCAGTGACCTGGAGTGTTTTGTCTGTGTGCACTGGGTGGGGCACCTCACCACCAGGAGATGCTGACGTGCTGAAAGAATTTCACCCAGTAGCTTCAGGGTGCATTGTTGAGATTGTATCTAGGTCCATCAGACTGTGTGTATTTTAGCCGGTGCTTTCAGTTAAGATGTTTAGTGAGATGCGGTATGAAAAGCTGCCTTAGATGACTTTCCAACCCCACTAGAGATATTTCCTGAGTAAACACCAAATGTGGGAAACTACAAACTAAATCCTCACCCAGTCCAGAGCTGCATCTGCTGACTGCAGGCAAATCAGATTTGTTTCTGAAGTCAGATGTTGAAAACAGATTGTCTACACTGTTATTTTGAAGTGATCAGATCAGATTTGTGAGTCCAGATATGACAAACTTATCTGCATGGGTTGTCGTAGTAACGATGTAGACATCAGTTAACTATATAGCAATGTTTTGCCCTGTGATTCTTTATTTAAAATTCATTTTCAGTCTGGATTTGACATTGTCATCGTGTGTTGCATTCAAAGACACTTTGAAATCCGGTTTGAGCAGCCAGAGCAGCTGGACTAATACACATCTGGACAAATCCAATTGGAATCGCATTTCACACCACCTCCAAATGTGGTTTGGATTGTAAGAATCACACTTCATGTGTGTTTTTGCTGTCCAGACTTTATAAAATCAATCTGGACACAATGTGGATATGCCAAAAAAATGGATTTGGGCTGGCAATCTTACTAAGGCCTGAAGAAACCTTTCCAATCATGTCCTAAAATCTCGCCTTAACTGAAAACAGTGGACAAAAAATAAACACATTTTGCAGTGAGAATTGTGTTTTATAGGCAACCATCCTTGCTATAGCTGCTCTGCAGGGTGGTGGTTTTAGATTATCCGACAACCTGTCAGATAAAGTAACATCTCTGCCATCCACCATAAAGTACACTCACTCATGTAGTCGCGTTGGTAGCAAACGTTAGAAAGAGTGAGTTGTTGCACAAAGTAGGCCAGTGACAAACGTTACACAAGATGTGTTATTTGTTGTTGCACATCCTGCTGGTGGTAAGTGTTGATTTGCGGGGCAGAAATGACTGTGTGCCACAAGCTGGTAGTACCGCTGAAAGGTTTTTGCTGTGGCTACAAGTAGTAAGGTATGCACAACATTTTTCAGCATCAGAAGTATGGCGTGTTGGCTTAAAAGTTTCTTGCTTCAGTTGTTTAATTTTTGCCTTGTTGGCTTCACCTTGATCTTTCAAAACTCAGCTGTCCTTTCTGTCCAGAAAGCTTTTCCCCTGCTGTAGTTTCATCCCAGCTCACACATTGAATACCTGAATATTGTATTACCTTTTTGTTTGTGTTATACAATTTTTTTGTCTTTTTAAGCAGGTTTTTAATGTGGTGTTGCAGAGAAATACCTCCAAATCCCCTCCCCCACACCGCCTCCCATTCTAGTTGTCTCAACCTTATAGAGATTTTTTCCTCCCCTAACCATAGCTTACTAATACTAGCTGTGCAGGCTCTACCACCATGTGCATGTCTGTGTGGTTCACACACACACACACACACACACACACATACACACACTAACAAACGCTTAGCTCATTCCAAATGAATCTCCAGTGCTGGTTAACACGTTAAATCATGCATTAACATGGTGCTCGGAGTGCTGTCTCCACCATGGCTGTGTAACAGGAGCAGAGTGGCACTCCTTTTCACAGCTTATGGGGAGGAGAGGAACTCTGAGGGTGCGAGGGAAGAAGGGAGGATTAAGGCCAGGCCGGGTCTGGTGGTTGTGGTTTCTTTATGTGGTTACGGCGGCCTAAACTTGACCCCTGACTCCGTCTGACTGGTGGTGAATAGTCACAGGCTTGACTCAGGGGTCAAACTGCCGTCTATGGGAATCTGTTTCTGTCTGCTGAACAACCATGGAGCCACGGTCTAAGAATCGGAGGAGAAAGAATAAAATGGGATTTGGGATTATCTCCTCCACATATTTGCACAGACACACACCTGAAGGTCTGCCCTCTTTATCTCCTCTGTCCGGGCAGACTGATATGCTGTCTGAGCTGTGGGACTGTTGCAGGCTTTGAAGGGTTGTTGTTTATTTCAATCACAAAAAAAGAACCCAGGGGTGTCACTTCCTGTTTTGGGGAGGTTTACTAGCTTCCAGTGTGGTAGTACTAACAGATACCATCATATCGACAATAACAACCACAGTATCACCCATCAAAACATCTGTCACTATGAAGGGGTGTAATGATATATCAAATTTTGCGATATCACGATAAAAACGTAGTTTGATACCATGATGGAACTGTGATGAAACGATATTACATGGTTATTTTAGCTGCTTTCTACAATCTCTCCTCGTCAAATATAAGGTCTAATTTAACATTACCTGCGCACTGTATCACTGAAGAGTTTTTTGAGCTGAGCTGTGTGCTCAAGTCTGTCTCATCACAAGTGTTGAACAGGACTGATGAGAAAAACCTGACGTACTAGACAGCATGGAAGTTATTTCTGGGGTCGATGATGTCGTATAGAAGGATACGTTACTAATGTTAAATATCTCTGGAACGTTGCCTGTGAGAAACTTTTTTTTTTTTTTTTTTTTTTTTTGCCCAGAAGCAAACTGTCATGCCATTGAGGGCTCCTGTGCAAGTGTATGTCTCTCAGAAGCTTTATAATCCAGGCTTGGACTGCCATATCTTTAAATCCGACACCTGGTGCTTTCACACCTGCCCTGTTCAGTTCAGTTCAATCAAACTCAAGTTCATTTACCCCCTAAGTGCGGATTGTTTGTGAACACAGCAATCACACTCAGGTGTGCACCAAAACAACCGGACTGAGACCTTCTTGAAGAGGTGGTCTCGATCCGGTTACAAACAAACTCTGGTGCGGTTCGTTTGTGGTGAGAAGGTGTTCCGACCTGGATGTGAAGCAACTGCAGTCACATGACACATTGTTTGGGTTAAACATGAGCATGTTACAGTCCTGGAGGATTATTAATGTGCACCTCCTCCTGTACTGCCTTAATATGCACATTCAGCACATCCAATGCATCAAAACATTGTTTTCTAGTTGGAGCCGCGCCTCGTTTTCAAACTGTATGGTTTGACTAAAATGAACAATGACAGCAATATAGTCCACGATGAGCAGCGCTAAAATCAACCTGCGTAGTTGTCCCTCCATTGTGACATTAGAAAGTGTCACATTTATCTTGCAAGTGTACTCTTCTTCAACGTTTGCTTTACTTCCTGGATTTTTCCCACATGGAAATTCTGACCAATCAAGAGCAGCTTTCTTACACAAGGCATTTGATCTGGTCCTCTTGTAAATGCTGCCATGAGAACACGAACCAACTCTAGGCAATTATACAACTTTGGAACATTCTAAAATAAATATGTCTTCGTTTTTTAATATCGTGATAAATATGGTATCGTGGGCTTTTTATCGTGGTTATATCGCACCGTGATTTTTTGGTATCGTTACACCCCTGTCAGTATGGAATCATGTGGAGCTACGTGATCCATTGCTTCACTCACTCACTGACTCACTGACTCATAACCCAGCTTCACCTCCACTGAAAAAAAAACCCCAAATGAAATCCCCCTCCTGTGGGCTCCAGACAATTTTTAGACTTCCTAGGTAACATTTTCATACCTTGTTCCTCCCCCCGTCTCCTCCACCCCTCTCACCCGCCCTCCCCTTTTACCACATCCACTTCCAGGACAGGAAATTCTTCAAAGGATTCTTTGCAAAAGTAAGTTATTGCTCTGTGTGTCTGAGTGTGTCTCTTTATTATGAGCATTATTATTATTTTCCCTCCTCTTCATGTAACACTTCACCCTTTGATCACATCTGAAGGCTGGAAGAAACAAACACTCACACACACGAGGGGGGGAGAATCTGTATGGAGAGAGACAAACACAATGATGCATGTGTCTTTGAGCAGGTGGGGTGGTTTAGGCTGGGGCGGGGCACCTGTGTGTGTGTGTGTGTGTGTGTGTGTGTGTGTGTGTGTGTTTTGTATTAACAGGCGTGCCTTCTCTCCCTTCAGCCTTCTTCCATGAATCAAGAATGGAACAATGAACAGTTTGTGTGAATGGACGTTTACCTTTGTGCACACACAAATATTTTATTGTTATTCTAACCAATGGGGCCACCACTGTCGACTGCATCAGAGCACCAGTTCTCATACCAACCCTCTTATTTCTTTTATTAAAATTTGGGCACAACTCCAGACTTGTGTCTTCTCCTTTGTCTCTTACCTGGTGCTTTCTCTTTATTTACAGGTGTGCTTTGTGTGTGTGTGAAGTTTTATGATTTGGTACCAAGGAATGGTACAAAGCTATTTTATTGGGGCACGGAGAGATGAAATGGAAAAGTTTCCTCGTTTCTTACTCGTACGTGTCCCTGTTGTGTTTCGTTTGCAGGCTGGGAAGAAGCCAGTGCGCGCTGTGTTGTGGGTGTCGGCAGATGGTCTTCGCGTCGTAGATGACAAAACAAAGGTAATGATAAGTCCCTTCAGCGCTCCATCACAGGCTTGGAAACACCTTGATCAGAGAGACAGAGCTGCCAGAGGAAGTACACGTGGCTTTAGTAGCTTTAAAGGTGGAAGCTGCTGAGCTGCAGCAGCTGATAATGGTAGTGAGGCTGCTATAGTTCTGCTGAAGTGACCTCTGAGAGGCCCTCTTTGTAAATATGTACTCAGTGCACCTGCAGGAGTAGATATGAGAAGAGTAAACAGGAAAGGTTATGTTGACACCTGCTGGAAAGTGACGGTACTACATCAGACCTGGTTTATGTGCCTTTATACACACGTTTACATTTTATAACAGTTGTAGATAGACGCAGATAGTTTAACATAAAAAAAATCAACGACAAAAAGAAAAATGAAGGCAATTTTTTTTTAATTTGTCTTCTTTCTACTATTAGCTATTAAAGTTTTTTTTTTTTTTGTATTTTCTCTTGGCATTGATTACTATTGATAAGTTAACTTTACGAACAAGACCAGGCGGACAACCACACAAATTTCAATTCACAGAATGTTTGAATGTGAAATTGTGAGTTTTATTGTCAAGAATAAATCTGCATGTAACAGAAGGGTGTAAGATGGAGGCAGGAACAGTGTACATGGGATGCCATAACCAAGTGGCTGGCATAGTGTACAGCAGGCCTATTTAATTGGCAGCCCACGGGCCACACGCAGCCCAGAAGCAAGCTCTGAGTGGCCTGGGCAGGGATTGGTGCTGAGACCTGGTATGAAACGGCCTGGGGTACAATTAATCACGAACGTAACAATAAAAAGCTCTGACTTTATCAGCTCTTTTATTGTAACCAAGTTTTCAATAGGTTGCTCGCTGCTGAAAAAGTCTGGCCCATAGACATTTTAAGGTTTTACAATCCAGCCCAATTGAATTTGCAATTGAATAGCCCTGGTGTACAGGAACATCTGCACTGAGTATAGGCTGGAGGTCCCAAGGTCACAAAGGAAGACTCCTCCTAAGGTGGTTGAGAATGATCCTGTGGGACTTCCAGATCCAGACTGACAAACTGTTGATGGCTAACCAACCGGAAGACGAAGAAGGCAGTTGTGATAGATGTAGCAATCCCGCGCGACAGCAACATCAGTAAGGAGAACAAGAAACTCGAAAAATACCAAGGGCTGAAAGAGGAGCTAGAAAAGATGTGGGGAGTAAAGGCAACAGTGGTGCCAGTGGTACAGAGAGTGGCTCCAGTAGATTCCAGGTTCAATAGATACCAAGCTCTGACAAGCAAGGAAAAATGTCTAACATATTATTTATCAAGAGAAAATTTTGAGGAATTTTAGATAGACAATCATGGGATTCATGTTCAAGATCTTCACATGCCTCCACTCCAGTGACAGCCACAGCCAGAGGCATTATGTTTTCAGGTTGTACATCTGTCCCATTCTGGTGAATGTGATATCTCAGGAACACCATGAGGGAATATTTTCAGATTTAAAGGAACTGGTGAAATTGTAGTGGGCAAAAGTCACTGTGCCCTCACAAACATGTTTTTGGCCATAACTCAAGAATTCATACACTACTTATGACAAAACACAAATATCTGATAAAACAAATTGAGGAAGTGATGTCATTTAATATCCAAAGTGGTCAGCTTCACTGTGACATAATGTTCTGCAAAAACACTTTTCTGGCCATTAGTCAATGCCATAACTCAGGAACAGAAGGGGAGACATTTGGTCAGACGCTGAATCGGTGACACTAGTCTTGGGTGTCCATCTTGAAACTGTGCTGATTATTTAGATCATCTGTGCTGCCGGGGGAAGATGTGTGTGAAGCATCCACGTTTTAAAATATGTATCCTCTTTTGCAGCAAAATTTATATTTGAAAACATTGTCTCCTGTGATGGTTACATTTGAATCTGGACATGGATGTAACTGTAACTTGGCCGGCTTGCAGAGCCGTAAAACCACAGGGTGGCAGTTCTAGTTTGAGTGAGACATTATTTTCAGTGTTATTTCCCTGTGGGTCAGGGTTATGGTTTGGGTTCTGGTTTGGTCAGAGAGCAGTGTCAGGTGAAGACTAGTACTTTTCCAGCTGATGGTGGTTCAATCTTACTCGAGCGCTCTTGAAGCCAGGCCTTCACTCTGAAGTACTGTTCACTGTGCAGTCATTCAGCCCACATTTTAAATTGACTCAATTGAGAGTCACTTGATTCTGACTATAGTTTTTAAGCTCATAATAATGAGGTGAAAATGTGTTCGGCAGGACCTGATTCTGGACCAGACAATAGAGAAGGTGTCGTTCTGCGCGCCGGACCGTAACTTTGAGAGGGCGTTCTCCTACATCTGCAGGGACGGTACCACGCGACGCTGGATCTGCCATTGTTTTATGGCTATTAAAGACTCAGTAAGTCAAACTCAGTCTTATTAAGTCGTCTTCATTCAGAAGTTATGATCTTAAACATCATTCAGTGTTTTATGAGTCACTTAAACAATGTAGTTTATGTGAGGGTGTTTATACTATTTTAATAATGTTTTCTATATCATGTTTATGGGAGGAAAAACCTTAATTTCTTTATACCAGCACTGTGCTCAGAGGTTTGTTTAAACAAGGTTCATTGTTTTTGCGTCATCTTTCAGGGGGAGCGTCTCAGTCATGCTGTAGGTTGTGCATTTGCTGCCTGTCTGGAGCGAAAACAGAAACGGGAGAAGGAGTGTGGGGTCACAGCAACCTTTGACGCCAACAGAACCACTTTCACCCGTGAGGGCTCGTTTCGTGTTACTACGGCAACAGAGGCGGCAGAGCGGGAGGAAGTCATGAGGCAGCTACAGGATGCTAAAAACGGTCTGTATCTGTAGTCCTTGTAATTCCCTGATGTGGACATAGGTTGTTGGGTTTAGTTACACACAAGTTCAAATTGTCTTTTGATTCAAACTTCACTTCCAGCTATGCTGTTGTCTCATTGCTTGAATGTTGCTCCTCTTTTACAGCTGAGACAGATGTGAAGACTGCTGGGAACTCAGCCACCAGCGTGACAAACTCCTCAGCACACCCGACGGGAGGCTCGCCATCCCCGTCGTCCTCCCCTCCTCTCTCTGTGGCAAGCCTGGGACCCCAGGTGATACCACGCAGACACGCACCGGCCGAGGTTCTCGCCAGGCAGGGCTCCTTCAGAGGCTTCCCGGCCCTCAGTCAGAAGACTTCTCCCTTCAAACGACAGATGTCGCTGCGCATGAACGAGCTGCCCTCCACCATGCAGCGCAAGTCTGACTTCCCCATGAAGAATACAGGTGAGACTGGGATCCTGAGCAGCTGTCCGTGTCCTCAGCTCGTTTGTTGGTATACACAACCTGATAAAAAACTTAAAGCGCAACAGTCTGTATTTGCAAGGATGAAAAGAAAATCAGGAACAAGAGTAGCACCCAGCGCCCGACTCTGTGTTTTCCATGCAGTTAAAGACGCAGCATGTGTACGGCCCCTAATTCCCAGGGCTGGTACCTGTGGTTATTCCACAGGCCAGTTAATAACATGTCGGGCAGGAAATCCAAAGTGTGGGATCATTTTGAGAAGGTGAAGGACGAACCCAAGGTGATAGGTAAACTCATCTTCATTGGTCGACTACAAACATGACGTATCATCTGAAACATGGAAGTAGCTACATGCCCATTAGCCCACAGCGTCATTAACAGGAGGCTCGCTCAGTGTGTGACGTGCACTTGTAGATAAAATATAGGCCTATATTAATGAAGGTTCATTAGGACGGTTTTGTATTTCTCTGTAATGTAGCACAGTGTTAACAATGTTACTGATACTATTCTTTCTCACACCTTCAACTCAAACCACCAAAATATATCATTACATTCATATCGTAAACATGCAGGCGACTAGTCGACTAATGGACCTAAATGACGACTATTGGTCGATTAAATTCTTAGTCAGGAGCAGCCCTACCCAGAGATGAATTCTGTCCTGTCTTCTGTGTCTTTTGTATGAACCTCTGTTTACTCTCTGGTGTTTCCAGTCCCTGAGGTAGAAGGAGAAAGTGACAGCATCAGCTCGCTGTGCACTCAGATCACCTCAGCGTTCAGTGGACCCCCAGAGGATCCCTTCTCGTCAGCACCAATGCCCAAACCAGCTTCATCTCCACAGTCGCCTGTAGCACCAGGTAACACCAGATAAACCTCCTCTCAGTCCCTTAACACCTAACATGTGCTACAGGGAACTTACACTGATAACCTAGCTGTGTGTGATAGTTTGTGATTGAATCTGTGTAATGGCATGATTAAACTACAATGTTTTTAATAGATGAAGCACATACTTCTGTTTTTCCAGTGTTAACTATCATGAGGTTTTGTCCAATTATTCCACAGTGCCAGTAAGAAATCGCATGCAAACAATTATAGCAACGCTTTATAGCTTCTTTTATTTGAGTGATAATAAAAGTTCAGGGACATTAGCCCAGAAAAACTAATGAATGTATTGTCAATTTTACACTTGCCAGGCAGAATTAAAAAAGGAAGCACACACTTATTATTTGGATGTTTGCTGCAGATAACGGCCAACTTTCCTGGCCACAGTCTTTGCCCACATTTGGCTGAATGTCCTGGTTATTCAGCTCTGCAGAAAATAAACAGACCTCCAGTGATGATTGTGCTGCCTGCAGTTTGAATTTCATTTTGTCATAACTGCATTTGTAGCATTTATTTTGTATGTGTGATTAACTGCACGGTCTTATTGTGCATGTCTAACAAAAGATTGGTCCACGTCACGTCAGCTGACACACATGCTTGCTCGTACTAGCTTCTGTCTCTTATCTGCTGTAGTGAACGGCACAGCTCCTGCCTTCCCTGTTGCTGTTGCTGCTGCTGCTGCTGCTAACCCCCCAGTTCTGCCCCCCGCTCTGCCTGCCCGAGACACTAACCCCTGGGCTAAGACCCCAGCAGGGGCCCCGGCCTCAGCACAGCCAGGTAAGAAGCACCTCAGAGAGGCTAAACTGATAAGTTGGCACGCCACAGGATGCACTGAGAGTTTACTAATGAGAGATAAGAGATGTTACAGTGTACCTTTGATGTCTACTTATCCCTGCATCATTTTTTGAAGATGGGGGTGCGATAACTGTGTGTCATTAAGTTGAACCTGTACCATCACTGTACGTTAAAAAATTAATGAGTTGCAGTCAGACTTTTTCATAGTAGTCGTTCGACAGTTTGGGAAGTACGCTTTTTTACTACATTACGGAGATTTAGATGAGAAGATCGATACCGTTTATGTATCTGGTAAATGTGACGCTACAGATCTGTCCAACACCTCAGTTTTGTGTGAATTAAACAAATGAGATAGAAAAAAACCAAGAAGAAATTTTCCTAAAATGTAAAACTGTTCCTTTAAACCAGCTACAGCTATAACTGGGAAGACTTCACCAGTATTTCTTTCTGTCTCAGTGATGCACTGCTTCTGTTGTTCTCACAGTTAAATGTTTGATTTGTATCCGCTGACATTGTTTTGCCTTTCTGTGTACTTTCTGCCAACAGGAAGTAACTGGTCATCTCCGACTCCGGTGATAGTGGTCCCCCCCACATCCTCCCCGCCCACGTCCACCCACAAACGCACACCATCAGAAGCAGACCGGTGGTTAGAAGAAGTCACAAAGTCTGTCCGAGGTCCTCAGCCTAATCCAATCATGGCAGCAGCCTCGCCTCCCACCCAGCCGTTCCCTGCCCCTGTACCGATGCCTGTGGCGTCTGTTCCCTCTGTTGCCCCGGTGGCCTTCATGTCCCCTCTGCCCTCCGCTGTGCCCATGTTGCCCCCTCGCCAGCCTGCCTTCCACGCTCAGGCTCCAGCCTCCTACCCGATGCCCAATGGGCTGCCGTTCCCTCAGCCCAGAGTGCCTGTGGTCGGCATCACTCCTTCGCAGATGGTGGCTAATGTGTTTGGCTCAGCCACGCAACCCCAGCCGTTCCCCGTCCCAGCCTCCACAACACCCCAGCATGATGCCCAGGCTGTCGGCAACATCAGCCCGTTCATGAAACCCCCTCAATCACACACAGTGCACCCTCCCCCCCTCCAGCCATCCAATGGTAGTGTGACCTTTAACGGGGCAGACAGCTGGGCTGCTCCGCCCCAACTCGCTCCATCCTCCCCAGCCACCCAGCCGCCCCCACAGCCGCAGGAAGATGCCTTTGAGGCCCAGTGGGCAGCCTTGGAGAGCCGCTCGCGCCAGCGCACCACACCCTCCCCGACAAATCCCTTCTCTACTGAGCTGCACAAGACCTTTGAGATCCAGCTCTGAAGACTGTGTGTGAGATTAGAAAGTACTGGACAATAAAGAGGCCATTTTAGTTGGAGGAGCAGACGGATGTTTGACTAAAGAAGAGAGGGGAATCTCCTCCTGCCTCTCTTCATCTTGGTTTCAGTGGACAAGCTCAGCAGGACCGAAGACAGCGGAGAGCAACGGGTGAATCAACAGGGAGCAGAACTCTGCACAGCAGTGAGGGGAGGAAAAAACAAAACAGGTTGCTGTTAACAAGGGCGCAGCTCCCCAGGCATTTCATTAGCATTGTCTGTATTGTTTTGTTTGTGCTGTGCAGCGCAAGGTTGTCATTACCCTGTGGAATATCTGTACCGAGCCACTCCCCCGTAAACCCCCTGCCACCCACACAGGTGAGGCGGCTCCCGTCCCCAGCTCACCTTTGCTCGGTCCAGCTCCCAGTGCTCACTGTTGACAGGACGAGACCTCCCTCCCTCACCTGGCAGAGGAACTGCAGCACTGAGAGAACTCAGCTTCCAGATGAGAAGTTCTCATTAATAACTTCCCAATCAGAAGAGTAAAGTGAGACAATGCCAAAATCTTTATTTTTATGCATTAAGTATATTTTAAATAGCTTTGGAATCTAACAGAAGAGTTGTAAGTAATCGTGCCAAAGGCACAGGCTAGCTACAATGAGACGAGTTTATGTTCGTGTATACAAGAAATGACCGTATATATTATACATAAATATATATCTATAAAGAATCTATACTGTACACACAGCTCACAGCAGTGCTAATTTTTAATGTGATGTAAAGAGATTTTGTGAAGGGACAGCTGCTTTACTTTTGTGTTATTTTTGTTCTGTTTTATTTTTGAAGAAAAATCTCTTTATTGCCGTCTGTTGCATCCTGTGATTGGATGTGAAGCATCTCACTGTAAATAGGGTATCATTGCAGCAACAATCAATGTGGACCTAGCAATGGTGGTGGTGCCCAACTGGTTGCCTCTCTTAACTGTGCTCAGTTTTTAATAGTTTAGTACACATCAGTACTTAACATTTTACTTCTTCTGTCTTCGCTGTCATTCTTTTTTTTTGTGTGTGGTAATGATTTTTTTTTTATTTAACACAGTAGGATGTGTCATCTCCTGTTTCTCCACCTCTTACATTAGTTTTTTTTAAAGTAGTTGATTTCTAAATTTTTATTTTGCACAAGCACTAAAGTAGATGATTTGACCTCACAGGTGACCTTGATCAACATGGGTTTAGTCAGTTGTGGTGCTGCAGTAGCCGAGAAGCTGCGTGCTGACCTGCCCTGACCTCCGTTAGCCTGCTGTGACGGTCTGACGGTCAGCAGAAAACTACAGGGAGATATAAAAAAAACGGTTTCATCTCTCACTGTCTGATTTCTCTGTCATGTTTTTATTTTTTTAAATCAAACCTGTGAATATGATCTATTATCTGATCTATTTTTCCATTTTGTAATTATTTCATTACTTTATTCCACTTCTTCGGAGAAATATTGAAGCTAAAAGATTGAATAAATTGATGGTGGTAAAGGAAAAACAGTGGTCTGTGTTCTTGAGTGAATAAGGTATAGTCCATCCATCCATTTTCAGTGGCTTATCCGGGGCAGCAGGCCAGACGTCCCTCTCCCCAGCAAGACTTTCCAGCTCCTCCTGGGGAACCCCAAGGTGTTCCCAGGCCAGATGAGATATTCAATCCCTCCAGCATGTAATGGGTCTGCCAGTGGGACGTGCCCGGAACACTTCCAACTTCAGCAACTATTTCTATATATTTATCGAACTAAAATGACAAACATTTACTTGTTCCAGCCTCTTAAACATTATAATTGTCTCCTTTTTTGGTTTTATATGATTAAACATTGAATATCCTTCGGTTTTGGACTGTTTCACATTTGAAAATGTCGCCTTGGACTTTTGGTAACTTTGATGGCCATTTTTTCAATATTTATTAGCATTTCATAGACTTGAAATTAATTTAGGAATAATTTGTCAAATAATACATGATAAAAATAACGGTTAGATGCAGCCAAAGTACAAGCACAAGCATAATATCAAGGAAGATAATGAATAGCAGGGTCCAGATGTAAATTTGAATAGACTGCTAACATTATTGACATTTTCTTTGCATTAAACAATGAATAAAGACAAAGCATTTAGGGTGCATTTATATTAGACCAATTTTTGACAAACGAGATCATATAAACACTGCTCTAACTTTCCCAGTGGACCCAGTTGTCCCTTGTGTGGATGCAGAGGTGAGTTTGTTGCATTGGTGTTCTCAGTTGTAATTCCTTCCCTCCAGCAGGGGGCGCTGGCTGCAGAGCCGCGTCCCGGTGCAGCAGCGTATAAATACAGCCCGGAAGACATGGATCAGTTTAGTAAAGAGAAGCAAGAATACATGTGTGCGGAACTAGCGCTGTGTTGGTTAGAAACGTAAAGGTAAGACTCAAACTTTATTAGTACACAGAAGCACTGCGCTGCTGTTTGGTAGCTGCGTTTCCGGTTTGGCATCAGGACGCATAGCTGGACGAACAGGAGAGTTAACAAGCTAGCAAGTTAGCCGGCTAGCCATAGTGGCTAACCAGGCTGACGTTGGTTTAACTTTGCTTTAACGAGAAAAGCAAACCAGAATGATGTCAAAAACGAATGTTGGTCAGTCTTGCCTTAAACTAATTTCCTTATGAGATGAAAAGGTAGTTGGTGTTGTTTCACGCTGTTGTTTGACAGCAAACGGTCAAAGGCTAGCAGAAGTTGCACTGCTAATGTTAGCTAGCTGTGTAACGTTCACTCGGTGCTGCACCGTTATATGAACTGGTTTAACTCGTATGACTTAACCCGACAATTTAGCCCTGCAGCAGCCAAGTCCTCAGTGTAACCGGTAGTGCTGTCATTGCTTTGCTTTTAGCTTAACGTGTATGGCGTTGGGGAAACTGAGCATTAGCAAGCCAGCTAACGAAGAAGCTAACGTGACACAACTTGACCTGTGACCAGGTGTTACACTGAATTCTGTGACCTAATTAGGAATGCGAGTTGTGCCACTGAATACTTTTTTTATTCAATAATTCTTTAAAACAAACTTTACTTGCACACTTGCAAACACGGTGCCTTCTGATTGTTAAGATACAACTTGACAGGTGTAGTAAGCAGAGGTGGAAGAAGTGCTCACATCTTGTACTTCAATGAAAGTGGCTATACCACAGTGAAGAAAGTACAAGTCCTGCATTTACATTTCGACTTGACTAAAAGTACCAAAAGTGAAAATAATGCACAATGGCCCATCTATGAATATTATATATATTTATAGATCATAATATGACTACCATACTTTATCTTGTGGGTTGCTTGTAAATTTCTCCTCAGGGATCAATAAAACTATCATTTGTTGATTTATATTTTGTATTATTCTGAATCTGTAAAGTAACTAGTAACTAAAGTTGTGAAAAGTACAATTGTTGGCTTTGAAATGGGGATGCGTGATATTGGATTTTTTTGCAGATATCCCATATGCCGATATTCAACAACTCATTTGGCTTATAACTGATACCGATATAGATATATTCCTCACCTAATTTTAGTGATCATCAAGTCTCTTCTGTAGTTTTTTTTTTTTTTTTAAGATATTTTTTGGGCATTTTGCCTTTTAATGGACAGGACAGGTAAGCGACATGCAGCAAAGGGCCAAAGGCTGGATTCGAACCTGGGCCGCTGCGGCAACAGCCTTGTACATGGGGCGCCTGCTCTACCACTAAGCCACCGACGCCCCAAGTCTCTTCTGTAGTTGAATGAACATCATATTATACATGCATACTTTTATTGTGATGGCCCACCAGCAGATGGAGACATGACACACAATACTTTTCAATGTATGTAATATTCATTCATTGTGCAAAATAAGAAAACGCATGTTGGCTGATTCTGATAGTTCATTTTAAAGCAGATACTGGCCATTACTATTATTGTGCATCCCTGGTATCATTATAATAATGTATAATGATGTATTTGTTGATTTATGGTTTATATTATTAATCTGAATCTGCAAAGTAACTAAAGTTATCAGAAGTTGAGTAAAAAGTACAAGATTTAGCTCTTAAATGCATGGAAGTAGAGGTGTGAAGTAGGAGAAAATGGAAATACTCTGTCAAGTACCAAGTACAGTACATGAGTGATGTACTTAGATACTTTACACCACTGGTAGTGTGTAGATCAATGTGTAGTCTCTAGGTTTACCTGTGCACAACACTAACACCTCACCTGTCAATTTTTTGTTTGCTTGTTTTTGCGGGATGTGTATGTGGTTTTCTTTTTCTCATATAATTAATCCTAGGGATGGCATGCATGATAAAATCGGCACGTCATCGGTGTTGGTATACATATCTGTTTATATCATTTGGATATATCTATCGGTTATCAGTCGAACGAGTTGTTACATATCGGCTGAAAATCCAATATTGCGCGTCCCTAATAAATCCTCTAATCTTACATAGTCTGACAGGTCACAGCTTTGGCTGCATAGAAATCAAAGTGATCAGAGCATATCTATAAATGTACTATGTTTCATAACAGCTATCAATATTAATTGTGCAATAAAAGTATGACCTAAAAATGCCTGCGTTGGCAATACAGCTGGAAGTCAAACACTGGTATGATTAAGGTGAAGGTCTCTGAGAGTATCCAGGCCTTCCATGATAACTCCTGGATGATGATGGATTGACAAGAAATGTTTTTCGTTTATTAAACAATGTAGGATTTAAAGAAGCATTCTACCCCAATATTAACACATTTTGCAGTTGGGAAATATCAAACACAAGAAAAGCATTTATAGATCCTCAGAACATAGATAAAGCTTTAATGTTACTGCAGAGAGGACGAGGAGGAGTTTCTTCCATCGGCTGTTCAGGTCCTGATGATTTATTGTCATACTGACCCCATATATACGTATTATTGTGTCCTAGTGACAACATTTCATTTTAAAATCTCATTTATTTAATGATAGTTTTATCGCACGTTACCATGTCTATTTGTTCGATTGATTTTCTATTTTATTTATCTATTTGTTGGATTAACAGGCTTAGGCAATATCTTTTTTTTTATTTTTTTGTCATACCTTCCTGATGTTTTACTGGGATATACAGTACATGACGATATTCAGGTTTAAAAATAAAACAAAAAGCATAACAGCTGAGCTACTAGTGATAGAAGTCATCGCAGAATATATGTCACTGTCTGACCTACAATGCTGTGTTTTAAAAATGCAACAAGTCTTGTTGGATCTGATAACTTATGGCCCATAGAAGAATAAATAGATAGGAAATAAGCGCCCGTCTTGCTGGAGGACAGGTACAGATACATCAGTGGACGTTGAATAAAATCATGTGGCTTATTAACTGGTTTGTATTTGGAAGAAGTCATCTAAGATAAAGTTGTATGTAGCAGCACTCCTGCCTGATCAACCAGCAGAGACTGACCTCTGGTGGTGCACCACAGCGCCTTAAAACAACATCTCTATCAGTTTAATAAAAAGAGCAGAATCCGTATTTTTAACAGTATTAAATCAGATCTTCAGGGTTTCTAAATACCCCAGTGGTACACCATAGTACCTTGATACCACCCAAGCTAGGCATCTAAGAATTTCACTATACTATGTATTGATTTGTTTGTTTATGAATGGAGGACCTGTGGTGTGTTTCTTCCAGAGAGATGCGGTGCCTGTCCAGGTCACAGAAACAGAGCCAGGTGTATATGGGATCCCACTGACACAGGAAAGGTAAAACATCACTCACCTTTTCAAAAATAGACTGTTATGGTCATGCACATCTGACCACTGACCTGGAGTTGTTTGTTCTGGCTTTAGCTTTGCACTTGTCAGCCAGCTGAGGATCACTACGCGTCACCATGTCTCATCGAGGACCTTTAACCGCTGTCATAACAACAGTACTCGGGGCGACCTTAGGAGGGCTGCTCATATGGCGAGTTTACCGAACAAAGAGGAAGAGGCTGCCTTCCATCCAGAAGGTGGCTGATCCTGTGGAGGCTCCATGTCCTGTGAACAAGGATTTTACAGCTGTAGAGTGCCAATACACCAAACCGCCAAATGTGCAGGAGAAGGAGTTTAAGGCAGTGGAGTGTCAGACCACACAGCAGCCCCCGCCTGTACAGATCCCGTCTTATGAACAGCTGCTGGGAGTGAAACCAGTGATGGTGAGCTCTGAGGAGGAGTGGCAGCAGCTGTGGCCCCTGATGGAAAAGGAGCTGTCAGTCTTCCCTGTGCTGGGGCTCGACTGTGAATGGGTAAAGATAAAAGGCGTAAGAAATATCTTTTGCATGTTTTTAAATACAAAGAGGAAAAATCCACCCTGAATAACTAATTGTTGTTTGATATTCTTTGCTTATTTGTGTAGGTAATTGGCCTCATAGATGATACAAGATCACACAGACACTAGGGAAGAATCAGCTCTGAAAGAGTAGATATAGTCTAGATTTTGGATGTTAGATGGTTGGACAAAACAAACAATTTGAAGTAGAGCTAAAGTGAATAGTCAA